CAGACGGACACAGAGACAGACAAGACAGAGAGACAGACGGACGGACACAGAGAGACACGCAGACAGATGGACGGACATAGAGACACAGAGACAGAAGGATGGACACAGAGACACACAGAGATAGACGGACAGAGAGACACAGAGACAGACGGACGGACACGGAGAGACACAGACAGACAGACACAGAGAGACACAGACAGACAGACACAGAGAGAGACAGACAGACAGACACAGACAGACAGACAGACAGACACAGACAGACAAACACGAACAAACAGACAGAAACAGACAGACAGACAGACACAGACAGACAAACAGACACAGAGAGACACAGACAGACAGACAGACACAGACAGATGGACACAGAGAGACACAGACAGACAGACAGACACAGAGAGACCGGACAGACAGACAGACACAGACAGACAGACGGACACAGAGAGACAGACACAGACAGACGGATGGACACAGAGAGACAGACACAGACAGACGGACGGACACAGAGAGACACAGACAGATGGACAGAGACAGACAGACAGACACAGACACACAGAGACAGTCAGACGGACACAGAGAGACACAGAGACAGACAGACACAGATAGACACAGACAGACACAGAGACACACAGAGACAGACAGAGAGACACAGAGATAGACAGATGGACACAGACAGACAGATGGACACAGAGAGACACAGACAGACAGACGGACACAGACAGACACAGACACAGACAGACAGACACAGACAGACAGACAGACAGACACAGACAGACAGACACAGAGACAGACAGACAGAGAGAGAGACACAGACAGACAGAGACAGACGGACAGACAGAGAGACACAGAGATAGACAGAAGGACACAGACAGACAGACGGACACAGAGACACAGACAGACAGACAGACACAGACAGACAGACACAGACAGAGACAGACAGACAGACAGACAGACACAGACAGACAGACAGACACAGACAGACAGACAAACACAGACAGACACAGACAGACAGACACAGACAGACAGACAAACACAGACAGACAGACAGAGAGACCCAGAGACAGACGGATGGACACAGAGAGACACAGAGACAGACAGACACAGACAGACAGACGGACACAGAGTCACACAGAGACAGACAGACGGACACAGAGACAGGCACAGAGACAGACAGAGAGACACAGAGACAGATGGATGGACACAGAGACAGAGACAGACGGACGGACACAGAGACAGACAGAGACAGACGGACAGAGAGACACAGAGACAGATGGACGGACAGAGTGACACAGAGAGACAGACAGATGGACAAGAGAGACAGACAGACAGATGGACACAGAGACAGACAGACACACAGACAGACACAGAGAGAGAGAAGAGACAGATGGACAGACACAGAGAGACACGCAGACAGACAGACGGACAGAGACAGACAGACATAGAGAACGGCTCCGTTACCAAGGCCTCCTGGCGTCCCCCCCCCACCCGGACTGGGGCCGAGACCCAGGGGGTCGAGCGCCTAGGGGTCAGAGTTCAAGGCCCAGGGCACTGGGGTCGGGCGGCGGACGGTCGGCCGCGTGCCTCGATTTACCCCATCTGTGGTCCCTCCTCCAGGGATGGGATGGATTCCCACCCATGCCTCGATTTATCCCTGCGGTCAACTTCCTTCCCCTGGACTTGATTGTCCTCTGTGTCCGTCCTTCCTTCCCTCCTTCCTTCCCTCCTTCCTTCCTTCCCTCCTTCCTTCCTTCCTTCCTTCCTTCCTTCCTTCCCTCCTTCCTTCCCTCCCTCCTTCCTTCCTTCCTTCCCTCC